AGCAGCAGCCGTTGTTCGCCCGTTACTGCTAACGGGGCTTCGCCAACTTCGCGCGTACTAATTCACCAAACCATGCACCGCTGGCCCGGCCGAGTCGGCCTACGCTTCGGGGCTAGCCCGAACCTCGATGCCAGCCTAGCACTAGCTAGCTTGCACGCACCGCGTAACCGTTGCATGTTTTAGCATGCACTTGGCGTCATGGGCACTGTAGGGTTTTGCCCGTAGTTCAGGTAGAAGGGGGACTGCTGCGTCGTCGCTGACGTGGCATTATTGTACGCGAACTCGATCAGCGGCAGCTGCTGCTCCCAGGTCGTGGGGTCGTCGCACGTGGCACGGATCAACTGCTCCATCGTCTGATTCGTCCGCTTCGTTTGACCATCGGTCTCGGGGTGGTACGACGAACTGAACTGTAGCCTGGTCCCGAACTGCTCCCAGAGGTTCTTCCAGAAGTTGCTGGTGAACTTCGTGTCCCTGTCGCTGATAATTGCTGCTGGTATCCCGTGCAGGCGAACAACGGCTGCGATGAACAGACGAGCGGTCTCCTCGGCTGAGATCGACTTTTTGCACGCAGCGAAGTGTGCCATCTTCGTCAGCCTGTCAACGACGACCATCACCGCATCGTTACCCCCAGGGTTCGAAGGTAACCCTGTGACGAAGTCCATGGTAACCTGCTGCCAGGCGCGCTCGGGCGGTGGTATCGGCTGCAATTGACCCGCCTTCCGCTTCCTCGAGCTCTTCATCACCTGACACGTGGGGCACGAGCCCACATGCTGCTGCACGTCGGTCAACAGCTCCGGCCAGTAGTAATACCGCTGCAGTTGCTGTCGCGTTTTTTCTACCCCAAAATGTCCCGAGGTAATTCCGTCGTGTGCCTCCTGCAGTAGCAGCTCCCTCAGTAGTGAGTACGCGGGTACCCAGATGCGGTTGGTGCCTGCTTTTACGTAATAAACTCCTTTAGCTTCTGCCAGTTGCTGTGAGTTTCCAGTCGTGAAAAATGGGTCGGTGGGGTATCCGTGGGTGAATAGGCCTGTTAAAAGCGGGTTGGTCTGGGCGAGTAGGATGGCGTGGAGTTGGGCGGTAGGGCGGGTGAGTGCGTCGGTGATGTTGGATGCGCCTTTCTTGTACGTAACCGTGTAGTGGAAGTTGGACTCGAGGTAGTCCAACCAGCGAATCTGTCGCGGATTGAGATTTGGTTGGGCGCGTAGGTACTGTAGTGATCGGTGGTCTGTCCGTACTGTCACGTCGGTGCCGGTCAGGTAACACCGCCAAACCTTGAACGCGTGCACGATCGCCAACATTTCGCGGTCGTGTATCGGGTAGTTGCGTTCGGGCGGGTGCAGCTTGCGGGACTCATACGCGATTGGCTGGAGGCCGTTCCCGAAATCCTGCAACAGTACTGCTCCCACAGCGATGTCACTTGCGTCAGTGACGAGCTCGAACGGACGGTGTGGATCTGCGATGTGAAGCACGGGCGGTGAGCACAAAATGTTTTTGAGGGCCGAGAAGGCAGCTTGCTCTTTCTCCCCCCACGTGTACTCAACCCCCTCCCTCAGCAGGTCTGTCAGCGGGGCAGTCAGCTTCGCCATGTCGGGGACGAACCGGCGCACGTAGTTGACGAACCCCAAAAAACTCTGCAACTCGGTCAAGTTGGTCGGCGCGTGCCATGCTTGAATCGTCGCAATTTTCTTCGGGTCTATTTCCACTCCTGCAGCTGAAATAACGTGTCCCAAAAACTCCAGGCGGTCCTGTAAAAACTCACACTTGGACGCTTTTGTCAGTAGGCGGTTTTCACTCAGTATCTTAAAAACTGCTTCGATGTCTTGTAAGTGCTGTGCTCTGTCAGGGCTGTAAATCAGTATGTCGTTCAGGTATACTATGACGCACTTATCTAAGAGCGGGCGGAAAGCTTCGTTCATGGTCATTTGAAAAGTGGCAGGGGCGTTGGTCAGTCCGAAGGGCATGACGGTGTATTCGAAAGATCCGTAGCATGTGCGAAATGCGGTCTTAGGGCAGTCGGGCGGGTTGACGCGAATCTGGTGGTAACCCCCTCGAAGGTCGATTTTCGAGAAAACCCGGGCTGTGCGCAATTGGTCGATTAGTTCGTCGGCTCGCGGGATGGGGTAACGGGATTTGATGGTAACCCTGTTCAGTGCTCGGTAGTCTATGCACATGCGAAATCCCTCGTCTTTTTTCGGTGTGAACAGTATCGGTGCTGCGAAAGGCGACGAACTAGGGCGAGTGAATTCCTTCTCGAGCAGGTAATCGAGCTGCTTCCTCAGTTCGTCCAGTTCAGGCTGGGTCAGTCGGAACTGTCGCTGTACTGTTGGCTGTGCCCCCGGTTCTAACTCTATCCTGTGGTCGTGCGGTCGCTGAGGTGGCAGTCCCGTCGGTAAATCGTCCAGGAAAATGTCGCTGTACTGCTTCAACAGTGCTGCCAGGTCACTCGGTACGTCGGCCAGCAGTTTCTGTAAATCCCCTCCTTTGTCTGCTGCCTCGGCTTCCCGAATGTTGACCGCGTACACGTCAGCTCCTGCCGCTACGGCGCGTTTCATCGTGATCGCGTTGACACGCACCGACGAAGACTCAGGCGAGCCCCAGCGAGGTAGGGCGACGTTGTTACCGTTCACTCGCACGGTGCAGTCACCCGTCGTCCAGTCGATTCGCGGATTGTGTCGTCGCAGCCAATCACGCCCGAGTAAAATGTCGGTTCCGTCGAGGGTCGTTGCGAGCATTCCCTGGCTAAACGTGGAGTTACCCCCACATCGAATCCGAACCCAGTCTACGCGTTCTCGTATTGCCAGCGGCGTGTCGTCTACCAGTCGTGCGTCGATCTCAGGTAAACATCTGTCCAGTGGCAGTCGCAGTTTTCGTGCTGTAGCAGTGTTGATGAGGCTGTGACTAGCTCCCCCGTCTACGAAGATTTTAACTAAGTCCGTCCCGATTTTCCCACTAAGCAGTATGGGGCTGTCTACCGTAGTCCCCTCCTTATTCGGCCGAGTGTGATCGATTGCGTGAACCGGCACAATCACTCGGTGAGGGTCGGTTGGGTCGGGCGAGCGGCGTGACCTGTCAGTAGAGGGCCCGTGTGCTACTGACTCCCAGCGTTTCCCTGCTGCTTGGTCTGTTTTTGCTGCTCAGCTTCCCCCTTTCCCTTAGCGTTTTCCAGGCATTCGCTCTTGCGATGTCCCGGCCGGTTGCACGCAAAGCAGCGCCCTTTGAACGGTGCGGCAGCGGCATTTGCGGCGACGGCACGTATCGTGGCGCCCTCGTTCGTCCACGAGGCCGATGTCCCCAATGGCTGCTTCCGTAGGACCCCGGTCTCGGTCGGCGGAAGAAATCAAGTTTCTCCGCCATAGCGAGAATTTCTTGAAAATCGGTGACGCCGCGAAGCTGGATTTCCTGAGCGATGTCCTGCTTCAGGCCGCCGATGTAGCGGTCGATGCGCTCGCTCTCGTGCATATATCCCACCTGCTCGCATAGCGCCAGAAATCCGCTCGTGTAATCTTGGACGGAACCGAGTTGGCGCCAAGTGTGGAGCTTCTGTCGCGCCGCGATCGAAGCCGCGATTGGCTCGAAACGAGCGCGCAGACCTGCGCACCACGCGTCCCACGTGCGATACTGGGGCACCTCCACGAAATACGACGGCGCCGGTTTGTCCTTCCCGTGTCGGTAGAGTCGCGTAGTCCACCGGCTTCGTGACGATGACGCGCCACCAGTCCATGGCGGGTCCTCGCAGCAACGACACGGCGTAGCGAATCTTCGCCGTATCCTCCGAGACGTAGTTCGCGTCGAAAAAGACGTTCAACGTGAAGAACCACGCCTGAACGGTAGGACCACCCCGCTGACTTGGGTCAAAGCATGGCGGACGCTGCGGCTTTAGCGGCATCGGCGACGGAAGAGTTGATTCGCCGGCCGGCACCGAAATCGTGACTCGAGGCTGAGTCCTGGCCGCATTCGTCGCGTCGGGGTGTGTCGTGCCGTGGTCGTCGTCTCCGTCATGGCGGACGACGCCATCACTTGTGGCGCTCGCGGGTTGCCCCACACTTCCATGCTGTGATGTCTGTGGTGCGGGCTGAATCGGAGTGCCAGGTGCTTGGGATTGTGCCCGTGTGAGGTCGTTTTGCAGGGATGAGCGTTCTGCCGTCAGCGTCGCGATTTCCTCGGCGCTCTCGCGGATTTGTCGCAGCAGATCGTTCAAGTGCTCCTGCGTGAGGGTCGTGACGTCGATATGTTCAGCCATTTCGAAGGGCGTCGGCTCGTCTTAGTCTAGGCGCAGTCGTGGCTGCACGCGTTTACGAGAGAACGCGAGGACAGCGGCTCCTAGGTGCTAAGGTACGTGAGTCCCTTCGAGTGAAAAATCAAAAGTTGATTTCCTGGGGTGCGGAGATGCGCGGTCCGAAAAGAAAGAGGCTCTGATACCAAGTGTTATGGGTGCAATGAATCGAAGTAGCGAGGATTGCACTAAGGTGTCAAACGAGTACAAAATGTGAGCGAAGGCATGAGCGAACATTTATACGCGAAACATGCAAACGGTAACGCGGTGCGTGCGAGCTAGCTAGTGCTACGCTGGAGCGAGGCTCGGGCTAGTCCCGAAGCGTAGGCCGACACGGCCAGGCCAGCAGTGCGAGGTTTGGTGAAACAGTGCGCGCGAAGTCGGCGAAGCCCCGTTAGCAGTAACGGGCGAACAACGGCTGCTGCTGTACGCGATGTTGCAGGGTGCGCTGAGGAATATCGAGAAAATTCCTTACAGAGGGACTTTCACGCACGAGCACGTCTATAAAGGGGTTTGTGGCTCGGCAGGGACCCTGGTGTGTCAGGCTGGCTTCGGTTCGAATTTTCAAGGTCCGAAACCTCAAAGTTCGGGGCCAGTCTCAGTTGAAAATTCGCTCCGAGCCTCTGTGATTGGTTGTGGGCCCAGGTTTCATGACTTCTGCAAAACTATAGTGTAGCCCAACCAAAGCTTTTACTGAAATACTTGGAAAAAAAAAAGAGAGGACAGCTTAAAGGCATGTGAAAGGCACAGCACAGCTACACGCCGAGAGCACCGACTGGGGGATGGGTGTGGTGTGGATGGGGAACACGGTGGCACTACCCTTTTTTGCGCCCTGCTTCACAGCAGGGTGTTTGTGGGAGTGTGGGGGTGGTTGATGGCTGGAGGGGTTGAGGGAAAATTGTTGTGCTGCTGTGCCTTCAATGACACCTACAGGCTTGAGCGCTCCTGACGGATGGCTCCAGGCTTGAGCGCTCCTGACGGATGGCTCCAGGCTTGAGCGCTCCTGACGGATGGCTCCAGGCTTGAGCGCTCCTGACGGATGGCTCCAGGCTTGAGCGCTCCAGACGGATGGCTCCAGGCTTGAGCGCTCCAGACGGATGGCTCCAGGCTTGAGCGCTCCTGACGGATGGCTCCAGGCTTGAGCGCTCCTGACGGATGGCTCCAGGCTTGAGCGCTCCAGACGGATGGCTCCAGGCTTGAGCGCTCCAGACGGATGGCTCCAGGCTTGAGCGCTCCAGACGGATGGCTCCAGGCTTGAGCGCTCCTGACGGATGGCTCCAGGCTTGAGCGCTCCAGACGGATGGCTCCAGGCTTGAGCGCTCCAGACGGATGGCTCCAGGCTTGAGCGCTCCAGACGGATGGCTCCAGGCTTGAGCGCTCCTGACGGATGGCTCCAGGCTTGAGCGCTCCTGACGGATGGCTCCAGGCTTGAGCGCTCCAGACGGATGGCTCCAGGCTTGAGCGCTCCAGACGGATGGCTCCAGGCTTGAGCGCTCCTGACGGATGGCTCCAGGCTTGAGCGCTCCTGACGGATGGCTCCAGGCTTGAGCGCTCCTGACGGATGGCTCCAGGCTTGAGCGCTCCTGACGGATGGCTCCAGGCTTGAGCGCTCCTGACGGATGGCTCCAGGCTTGAGCGCTCCTGACGGATGGCTCCAGGCTTGAGCGCTCCTGACGGATGGCTCCAGGCTTGAGCGCTCCTGACGGATGGCTCCAGGCTTGAGCGCTCCTGACGGATGGCTCCAGGCTTGAGCGCTCCTGACGGATGGCTCCAGGCTTGAGCGCTCCTGACGGATGGCTCCAGGCTTGAGCGCTCCTGACGGATGGCTCCAGGCTTGAGCGCTCCTGACGGATGGCTCCAGGCTTGAGCGCTCCTGACGGATGGCTCCAGGCTTGAGCGCTCCTGACGGATGGCTCCAGGCTTGAGCGCTCCTGACGGATGGCTCCAGGCTTGAGCGCTCCTGACGGATGGCTCCAGGCTTGAGCGCTCCTGACGGATGGCTCCAGGCTTGAGCGCTCCTGACGGATGGCTCCAGGCTTGAGCGCTCCTGACGGATGGCTCCAGGCTTGAGCGCTCCTGACGGATGGCTCCAGGCTTGAGCGCTCCTGACGGATGGCTCCAGGCTTGAGCGCTCCTGACGGATGGCTCCAGGCTTGAGCGCTCCTGACGGATGGCTCCAGGCTTGAGCGCTCCTGACGGATGGCTCCAGGCTTGAGCGCTCCTGACGGATGGCTCCAGGCTTGAGCGCTCCTGACGGATGGCTCCAGGCTTGAGCGCTCCTGACGGATGGCTCCAGGCTTGAGCGCTCCTGACGGATGGCTCCAGGCTTGAGCGCTCCTGACGGATGGCTCCAGGCTTGAGCGCTCCTGACGGATGGCTCCAGGCTTGAGCGCTCCTGACGGATGGCTCCAGGCTTGAGCGCTCCTGACGGATGGCTCCAGGCTTGAGCGCTCCTGACGGATGGCTCCAGGCTTGAGCGCTCCTGACGGATGGCTCCAGGCTTGAGCGCTCCTGACGGATGGCTCCAGGCTTGAGCGCTCCTGACGGATGGCTCCAGGCTTGAGCGCTCCTGACGGATGGCTCCAGGCTTGAGCGCTCCTGACGGATGGCTCCAGGCTTGAGCGCTCCTGACGGATGGCTCCAGGCTTGAGCGCTCCTGACGGATGGCTCCAGGCTTGAGCGCTCCTGACGGATGGCTCCAGGCTTGAGCGCTCCTGACGGATGGCTCCAGGCTTGAGCGCTCCTGACGGATGGCTCCAGGCTTGAGCGCTCCTGACGGATGGCTCCAGGCTTGAGCGCTCCTGACGGATGGCTCCAGGCTTGAGCGCTCCTGACGGATGGCTCCAGGCTTGAGCGCTCCTGACGGATGGCTCCAGGCTTGAGCGCTCCTGACGGATGGCTCCAGGCTTGAGCGCTCCTGACGGATGGCTCCAGGCTTGAGCGCTCCTGACGGATGGCTCCAGGCTTGAGCGCTCCTGACGGATGGCTCCAGGCTTGAGCGCTCCTGACGGATGGCTCCAGGCTTGAGCGCTCCTGACGGATGGCTCCAGGCTTGAGCGCTCCTGACGGATGGCTCCAGGCTTGAGCGCTCCTGACGGATGGCTCCAGGCTTGAGCGCTCCTGACGGATGGCTCCAGGCTTGAGCGCTCCTGACGGATGGCTCCAGGCTTGAGCATTGTAGGAAGAGTTAGAAGCTAGGCAATATGACCACTATGTTATGTAGACCTTGCCTTTGATATAGTTGCCTAGACACTGTTAAGCCTTGTCATGCGTGCCCACTTGCAATTTGTGATTGGATGTCGTCGTTTTATTCGCAATGACAACTAGAATCCATTCTGCAATACAGCAGCGCACTGCCATATCCCCGTCTTCCTATTTTCCCTTGTTTCCCCATGCCTCCTTGTTTCCCCGTGCCTCCTTGTTTCCCCGTGCCTCCTTGTTTCCCCATGTCTCTTCGTTTCACCATCTCTCCCTGTTTCCCCATACCTCCCTCTTCCTCATGCCTCACTGGTTCTCCATGTCTCATTGTTTTCTCGTGCCTCCCTGTTTCCCCTATGTTTCCCTTTCCCCATCATGTATCCATTCGTCCCCATGTCCCATTCCCACTCCCCTTTTCCCCATGTCTTCATGTTTTCCCATGTATTTTGGTTTCCCTATGTCTCCTTGTTGCCTTCCTTTTACCCCATGTCCCGTTCCCACATGCCTCATTTTCCCCATGCCTCCCGAATTCACCATGTCTCCCTTTTTTTCCCATGTGCCTCTCTGTTTCTCCAAGCCTCCCTGTTTCCCCATGTCTCCCTGTTTCCCTATGCCTCCATTTTTCCCTATGTCTCCCTGTTTCCTTATACCACCCTCTTTCCCCATGACTCCCCCTACCCCACCCTCTTTCTTTACATCCTTGTTTCGAAACAACTCCTTGTTTCCTCATGTCTCCCTATTTTACTGTTTCACCATACCTCACTGTTTCACCGTACCTCACTGTTTCACCGTACCTCACTGTTTCACCGTACCTCACTGTTTCACCGTACCTCACTGTTTCACCATACATCACTGTTTCACCATACCTCACTGTTTCACCATACCCCTTTGTTTCACCATACCTCACTATTTCACCATACCTCTCTGCTTCACCATACCTCACTGTTTTACCGTACCTCATTGTTTCACTGTACCCCATTGTTTCACCATATCTACTGTTTCACCTTACCTCACTGTTTCACCGTATCTCACTGTTTTACCGTACCTCACTGTTTCACCGTACCTCACTGTTTCACAATACCCCACTGTTTCACCATACCTCACTGTTTCACCATACCTCACTGTTTCACCATACCTCACTGTTTCACCATACCTCACTGTTTCACTGTACCTCATTGTTTCATCGCACCTCACTGTTTCACCGTACCTCACTGTTTCACCATCCCTCACTGCCATACCTCACTGTTTCACCGTACCTCATTGTTTCACCGTACCTCACTGTTTCACCATACCTCACTGTTTCACCGTACCTCACTGTTCCACCATCCCTAACTGCCATACCGCACTGTTTCACCTTACCTCATTGTTTCACCGTACCTCACTGTTTCACCATACCTCACTGTTTCACCGTACCTCACTGTTTCACCGTACCTCACTGTTTCACCGTACCTCACTGTTTCACCATCCCTCACTGTTTCACCATACCTAACTGTTTCACCATACCTCACTGTTTCACCGTACCTCACTGTTTCTCCGTACGTCACTGATTCACCGTACCTCACTGTTTCGCCATACCTCACTGTTTCACCGTACCGCACTGTTTCACCGTACCTCACTGATTCACCGTACCTCACTGTTTCGCCATACCTCACCGTTTCACCGTACCTCACTGTTTCGCCATACCTCACTGTTTCACCATACCTCACTGTTTCGCCATACCTCACTGTTTCACCGTATCTCACTGTTTCACCGTACCTCACTGTGTCACCATGCCTCCTCGTTTCCCCATGCCTCCATGTTTTCCCCATGACTTCCTGTTTCCCCATGTCTTCCTTTTTCCCCATGTGCCCATGTTTTATCATGCCTCTTCATTTCTCCATGCCTTGTCTCCCTATCATGCCCTGTTCCCCATACCTTACTGTTTCACCTTGTCTCCCTGTCACCCTCTATTTCCCCATGTCTCCCCTTTTCCCCATGTGTCCATGTTTTCTCATGCCTCTCCATTTCTCATGCCTCCCCATTTCTCCCTGTTCACTCATGCCTCCCCTTTACCCCATCTTCCTGTTCCCTCATGCCTCCCCTTTACCCCATTTCTCCCTGTTCCCCCATGCCTCCCCTTCACCGTGTCTCCCAGTCACTCCCTGCGTACCTACTTGTTTCCCCATGTCTCACTCTTTCCCACTGTTTCATCATGCTTCCCCTGTACCCTGTTTCACCCTGTTCCCTCATGCCTCTCTATCTCCCCAAACTTCACGTTTCCTAATATCCCACTTTGACCATGCTTCCCTTCGTCCCTATGTCCCTTTCCTCCCCATGCCTCACTATTTCCCCGTGCCTCTTTTTTTTCCCATCCCATGCTCCTCCTTTCATCTTGTTTCCCTGTTTCCTATACCTCCTTGCTCCCTGCTTCATCAGGTCCCCCTGCTTCTCCATGTCTCCCTCTAAGTCCCCAGGCCACCCTCATTTCCCCATCTAACTCCCGAGCACTCTAACTCCCTTTTCCCATCTCCTGCCTGCTTCCCCAAATCCATCTGTTTCATCATGATTCTTGGTTTCTCCATGCCTCCCTTTTTTCCCCATGCCTCCTTTTTTTCCCCATGCCTCCTTTTTTTCCCCATGCCTCCCTTTTTCCCCATGCCTCCCTTTTTCCCATGCCTCCCTTCTACCCATGCCTCTCTTTTTCCCCATGCCTCCTTCTTGTCCCCATGCCTCCCTTTTTCCCCATGCCTCCCTTTTTCCCCATGCCTCCTTTTTGTCCCCATGCCTCCCAGTGTCCCCATATCTCCATGTTACCCCATGTCTCCTTGTCATGGCTTCTTGCTCCCCCTGTCTCCCAGTTTCCCCATGCTTCTCCTCCCCATTCTTGTCTCATGCCTGACTGTTTCCCCATGCCTCCATGTATCCACACAGTTCCCTGGATCCCCATGTCTCCCATTACAACATGTCTTACTGATTCACAAGTACTTCGTGTTTCCGCGTATCTTTCTTTGTTCACATGTCTCCCATCTTCCACAAGACTCACGCGCCCCATGCATCCCAATGTCTACCTTCAACCCCAAGCTCCCCCTTTACCCCATCCCTCACAAGCTTCCCTTTTTTCCCCCTCACTGATTCCCCAAGCTCCCCCTTTACCCCATCCCTCACTGATTCCCCAAGCTTCCCTTTTTTCCCACTCTTGTCTAATTCCCCATCCCTCCCTGTTTCCACATGCTCCACGATTTCCTCAAGCTTCCCCTTTCCCCTTACCTCCCTGATTCTCTGTTTCCCCATGCCTCTCTGTTTCCCCATGCCTCCCTGTCTCCCCACGCACTGTAAAATTCTGAACCCCTGAATTCTTTGAAATTTTCAGTACACCCCTGCTGATGTAAGTGTAGAACGAGAGGTGAGTTTGAATGAGTTGTTCTTTGCGGAGGGGCGCGTCACTGTGGAAAGGCTGGAGGGCTGCAGTGGATGGATTCTGGCGCGGGTGAGGAGCCGCCACACTCTGCATCACTTGCCTCGCACTCTGCATCACTTGCCTCGCACTCTGCATCACTTGCCTCGCACTCTGCATCACTTGCCTCGCACTCTGCATCACTTGCCTCGCACTCTGCATCACTTGCCTTGCACTCTGCATCACTTGCCTCGCACTCTGCATCACTTGCCTCGCACTCTGCATCACTTGCCTCGCACTCTGCATCACTTGCCTCGCACTCTGCATCACTTGCCTCGCACTCTGCATCACTTGCCTCGCACTCTGCATCACTTGCCTCGCACTCTGCATCACTTGCCTCGCACTCTGCATCACTTGCCTCGCACTCTGCATCACTTGCCTCGCACTCTGCATCACTTGCCTCGCACTCTGCATCACTTGCCTTGCACTCTATACGCACTGCAAGTCCTGTTTCGCCTCCATCTCATCAATCAACTGACCTGAGTATAGATAACATGTGTTGAACGATGTTGCTCAAATTTTAAAATGTGATTACATAGTAACACCCACCCATGGGTGTGTGAGCTTGCATTGCCCTTGCCTCCAAGATTGAACAGCCCCCTAAAGAAGGGTAACTATTATCGGTACACCCAAGGGTGTACTATGCACGGTGTTACAGAACGTCAATATGGCCAATTAGGATGCGAAGCTCTGGACCTGTTATGGAAACCAGGTACCATAAGTTCTTGCCTTTTATTTATTTTAGTCTTGCATCTGCTACCGTATAAGACAAATCAAGTTGTGCTCTGATTTGATCTGTTAATTGGTGTAATCTAAAACACATATTTGAAACCTCTATAAGAGGAACAGTGTAAGGAATTTTCTTGACATTCCTTAGCGCATCCTGCAACATCGCGAGCAGCAGCAGCCGTTGTTCGCCCGTTACTGCTAACGGGGCTTTGCCGACTTCGCGCGCACTGTTTCACCAAACCATGCACCGCTGGCCCGGCCGTGTCGGCCTACGCTTCGGGACTAGCCCGAGCCTCGATGCCAGCCTAGCACTAGCTAGCTCGCACGCACTGTGTTACCGTTTGCATGTTTCGCGTATAAATGTTCGCTCATGCCTTCGCTCACATTTTTGTACCCCTTTTGACACTTTAGTGCAATCCTCGCTACCTCGATTCATTGCACGAATGCGGCCAGGAGTCAACCTCGCATCACGATTTCTGTGCTGGCCAGCGAATCAGCACTGCCGTCGCCGATGCCGCTAAAGCCGCAGTGTCCGCCATGCTTTGACCCGAGTCAACGGGGTGGTCCTACCGTTCAGGCATGGTTGTTCACGATGAACGTTTTCTTCGACGCCAACTACTTCTCGGAGGATACGGCGAAAACTCGCTATGCCGTGTCGCTGCTGCGAGGACCCGCCATGGATTGGTGGCGTGTCATCGTCACGAAGCCGAATGATTACGCGACTCTACCGACACAGAAAGGACAAACCGGACCCTGGGCCCCGTCGTATTTCGTGGAGGTGCCCCAATATCGCACGTGGGACGCGTGGTGCGCAGG